GTGGATCTGTATTTACGTGTGTTTGTGCACTTTCATGCGTCATACGCATGAAGACAGTTTATGTGTTTTTTTGGTTTAAACAATCGCACGACAACCGTACTTATATTTGTAGGTACATGTTTGTAAACAAGCAATAAAAACACAAATTTTAAATATACGTATGGACACATAAACCTATTTGAAATATACTTCAGGCAGACACATAAATTTAAAAGCAATGTTATACCACGGTATGTCGTTCTATCTTTACATGATTTCGTATGATCCCTTAATTGTATATTTATTCTCTATTACGGGTGGCAATCCCGAGTATACAACAATTGTGTTTGCCACGCTCATATCTCTGATATACTTATCACTCCACAGACTCGCAATTCGTACGCCGATGGGGGGTTTGACTACATCTACAGCCCCAGCCACACCATAGACACACCGCACAGTGGTACGTACTCTACATACACACCCACTAGGGATGATGACGTGTACAGTGAAGCCGCGGCAATGCTAGGCCAGCTGTACAATCCCAAGGGATGTGAGGCGAGTGCGCAGACACACGATGACGCACTTATTGCAAGGGAGACAGCATGTCCAAATGGTATACCCAGCGCAATCTCCGCTACAGGCAGCGAGACCAATGGTGTGCATAGACCCGTATCGGGGCCTATTCCTAGCTCTTCACCGGACAATTTGCGATTTCAAGAGCTGTATGGTGGTGATGATAGAGCGAACATGACGCCTGGTATGCAAACACACCACACTCAGAGTAAGGCACAAATAATAGAGACTATGGCGGCCATTGATCATAATCGCAACAGATACAACAACGGAGCCGGAAGCGACGACAGGAATGGCATGAGGAGTGTGGGCGTGAGTAGTGCCACAAATATACCTCTGCCACCCACCTACAACAGACCACCATACACCCAACAACCACTCCTACAACAACACCCGCGGCAGCCACAACAGCAACAACACCCGCGTCAGCCACAGCAGCAACAATTTACTTACGCACCCCCGGACAGCAGTACTATCATGCCAGGGCCATACATACACACGCGTGCATACCCACCACCTGATACCCCATATTTCGGACATGCGCTATTGCCGCATCCGCAGTATAACACGTACACCGCACCACAGGCTTATGCTCAGTCGCCGGTGGTGATGGTAGGGCAGCATGCAGGACCTCCTTACACGTACTTACACCCAAATGGGGTACCAAACAACGGGTCTTGGCAGAACGCGCACATACACGCGCCAGCGCAAGCACAGCAACACACACCGACGCACGCATACGCTCAAGATCAAGGCGATGTACAACGACATGCACATGCTCAAGCACAGGCTGATGCACAACTCAATGCCGCTGCACGCACTACATTGAGATCAGAGTCACAATCGAGATTACGGGCCGGTTTTCAGCCTGAAACTGTCGAACGTAGCCATGTGCACGTGAAGGTCAGTGAAGTACATAAAACACTCGGGGATTTTCTACCCGAACATGTGTTGAAGGATACTAAGGACGAGGACGCTTGTGTACCTGCGGATCTCAAGGATATGGAGAGGCACAGGGATAGCCGGAGGATTGATACAGGCTCATCTGTCACCGGGGATGTGGATACAGGTATCGCCGCGAGTGTCATCAGCACGGCCGGGAATGATGTAGGCAAGGGCTATGATAAAACTGCGTTGAGGGGTGCGAGGCCGTACACAATAGGAAGCAGCAAGATCGGGCTCCCCAGTAGGAACACGGCGGTGTGGAAACAGCACATGACGGAGGGGATTAGCACCTTGCTACCGGATATAGTGCTGCCATCGGGTATGTTTTATTCCCCCCAAGGTATCATCGACACTTTTGTTTGCATTTCATTGCATACCCGCAGCCGCCTCGTATTCTCTTTTGTGTACTTGATATCTGATACTTACAATCGTATTTTCTTTCTGATACCCGAATGCACAGACAGTCGTGACCTGCCAGGAGTGCGGGTGTGCGGCGATCTCAACTTTGGCACATTCAATGTGGTGCCGGATGCCGATACAGATACAGATACCGCTAAACACGTTGCCGATGGCATCGGCAGTGTGACTAAACAGAAAAATGGGAAAGGTGCCACATTATCATCGACAGTAGAATCCAATCCAAAGTTGGATTGGAAATCCGGTGCTGGGAGAGGAAAAAGGAGTCCAATGGTGCATGTACGTGATGACATGGATTCAACAAGGCAAGAGGGCAGGGCCAACGGAGTAAACCGGGATCAAAACGGGATGCAGTGCGCCAAAGAGAATCGAGTGGTGTCGATTGAAAACGCAACGGATAGCAAGATTTATTTAGCCGATATAGTATTCACACCGCCGTGCAGTGTGTTTGTTGTGACGGATACAAATGCGCTGCAGTGGGTGAAGCCTGCAAAGGACTTTGCCGACAGCGTCGGTAGTAGCTGCCTAGTAATACCTCCACACTCATCCTATGACTTCTTGGTAGGATGCCTCCCGGGCGGGGATGTGGGCATCTATCAGCAGTATATCGTGATTGCCCTGGGTATGTGTGCATATGCGGTGCAGTGAAGGCTGCATTTTGGATTATTTATTGACAAGCAGCATGGAGCTGGACGTATCCTCTTAGTCGCTCTGTGGTGTGCTGAAGTGGGTGTGCTTTAGCGGCTGACTTCACATGCAACTCCCACCCGGTGGAGGCCTGGGCGTGCGAACACACACTCTCTGAATACAATACTCGCTCTTTCTCTGTATCTCCTGTCCTGGGTTATCCCTACCTTTCGTTACTCGTTTCTCATTTGTGTTCGAATACGTCTCGCACCTCTGCTGCCCTTAGTGGTCGGCGATACTACCGCAGAGCAGCCGACGATTGAGTACCTCGGGAGTAAAACCACGTGCATGATGCAGCATGCCGATGATGTGGCGTTGCTGGATGCGGATGCCATGCCGTTCTTTCCCTTGTGGATGACCACACTGTTTGACACCCAGGCTAATTTGGTATGTGGTGCTTGTTCCATTTTCGAAATAGACTTGTTTCATGGGTCATTACACTCGAATGCTTGTGCTTGGCATGGGCTTCGTAGCTGCCGTAGGAATAAGGCGGACGCTATATTACATTACGCTACGTGGACACTAAAAAACTGATGAACTCTTAAAAACTGATACACTGATAAACGGACAATCCTTATAGGTAGTGGGTCCTACACTGCCACTACCAATACCACGGTGCATGACCACAAAGACCACTGCGATGGTCGCGCGAGAGATGCACCGGACAGTTCTAAGTATCTCAGCGCCCTCAGCGGCACCAACGACGTTGGTGGTTCCTCAGACGAGCCGAAGTATATCGGCACCTACGGCTTCTGAATACAATCGACAGGTGAGTTGTGTGAGTACTGTATATAAGCCCATACGTGAGTGAGAGGGCGGTTTTGATGGTTACCATAACCTTGTTTCGCACATATCTCTCACTGACACGTCTTGTCGTTTGCGGACCTGCCATAGTAGTATCGTATTTTTCAATCACATATTTGACCTGGGGTGCCATGTGTGTGCTCCTATGCCTTTCTTTTGGTAGTGGTATATTCAGCTATTTTTATCTTATACTTCTACCACCAGCACACATCCTGTTCATTCGTTAAACCCGCCAATGTATCCCGTATGTTCCGCTATGTAAGCCAGCAATACCATAGTGTCAGTTTAATTGATAACATCATTGCAACCCATTCTATGGCACGGATTTTACACGTGTCTGGGCATCATATGGGCTTCCCATACGCATATCTCGAGTTATAATATGCTAGCAACTGTTGTTTACCCGAGGATACATTTGAAGACTAATGCCGTAGAGCATAACTTCAAGTGTAGAATCAAAGACTTAACAATACCAACTGACTTATGTATGCGTCCACATTGCTTGCCTTAATATGAGTATATATATACGTATCTAGATAAATATAAAGATACGCCTCACAATCTGCATACATACGTTCCGGTTGACTGCAAGATACTAGACCGTGGCCGTTCATATAGCATGTACACATCTAAGTGCTAAATTTCCACAACGGTACTAAATGAAAAAAATAGCATTCGTGCCTGCTTACTCTCGAGTGGACTGTCGTTATACTGCACCGTAGTCAAAAATCTCAAAATATTGTCGAGCCACGCGCACAGTAGATTAGATGAGTTGTCTGACAATGCTTGATGCTTCTGCTTCATGCAAAGGTTCGGAGTGTATCAATAAGTATCATATATATATATATATATATATTTATATATGTATATATATATATATATATATATATA